CTGCTGGCCTAAGTGGGTTCGGTTTTTGTATCTAGGCTCAGTCAGACTGAAAACCGATCAGTTCATCGCAACCCACAGAAACGGAACAACCTCGATGGCGTCGAATGGTCTGCCTCAATATGCGAGCCCTGAATTCATAATGAACACTTTCCATTAGCCACCGAACGAATCTTTAGACGCTGCTGGTCCGAGGGCGCTAGAGAAACACGGAGATCGCCCGGAACTTGCCTCGGGCTACAACTTCAAGTTGCCGCGCAAAAAAGGGAAGTCCGAAGAGAACGCTTATGGTATTTGGCATTGTTTACGTTGTGGCTGACAAGGCAAATGTAACAGGCGGGATGCCTCACTCACGCACCGACGGTGAAACCGTGAAAAGAAGCTCCGAGTCAAACCACGAAGTAGGGACAGTGAGATGTCTCCCAGGAAAGGGGTGCACACTCCTTCGAATCCTATGAAAGCTGTAAAAGAAGAGGGGGTGAATTCGTTCAAGAAAGTAAGTGGATCCGTGGAATACTAAACATCGCCCTTTCAGCCCCTAAACACAGTGAATGACGTCCTCGATGGTCCTCGCCTCAAATCGACGAAATTTTAGGTATAGTGGGTCGTTAATTTATGTGGGCTATGTCTAAGGTAAAAATAACTAGGAGGCGCACACCACGTTCTTCACTAACCATTGCAAGCATTTAAGTAACCTACCGTATACTACTTTGAGCCTCCACCAGGTCAGTGTGATCAAGACTGGCGGACTGGCGGTGTTTTATGATCCGTGACGACGTTTCAGCTTTTCTTTGATCCTTTAATAAAGAAAATGGGGCTGCATTTCCTTCTGGGAGGTACAAGACCCGTGAACGACTGCTCCACATCATTCGGCCTTCATCATGCGATTCCCATCGTAAGTATTCTCGACAAGCACACTGGTGCCGAAACTGACGTATGCATCGTTTCGGCCTTGACTTTGAACAGCTCTTGCAGTCTCGTCATCGGGCAAGCGACCACCATCACCTGGGTTTCTGAATCCGGACCCAACGACTTGCCGATATGAACATCTAAGATTTGATGCCATACAGAATTGTCTGCTGGTGACAGCACAGAGGAAGAAACGCAAACGATCATATGGATTCGCAACTCTTTCTCGACAGCGTCAGTAGGCTTATGAAAGCGACTTCAGGGTCCGCACCACAAAGCGTCTCGGCCTATCAGGTGCTAAGTACCGTAGATATAGCATGTGCGAGCGTCCTAGGAGTGGTCAGCTTGATACTCGCGACAGAAGAGTTGGAGACTCACTCATGTACGGTAAAGAGAGGATGCAGGGAGTTCAGCCAGCTACACAATACCAAGCAGTATCAGTGAGACTCAAGGCCGGCACAGATAAATACACCAGACAACTCACAAATAACTCGAGACCGGAGCACAGGGACTAATCTGAGTCGTCCTCTCCGGGGTCCCATTCTGGTACGCCTCGCACCACCCAGTCGCATTCGCAAAGCCGAAAGCCTTAGCATGGTCAAGCAGCGTATTGAAGATCGGCTGAGTATCGAAGACGGTCACTTGGTCGAGGTCTCTGTGACGGGCTCGGAACCGCGCCACTGTGCTAGAGAGCTGCGAGTTGTAGTTGGCGATCAGGGGGCGGAGTCTCGCGACGACTTGGGGACCTTGTTGGAGGAAGAGAGGTGCGCGGTCGGTGGGCGGGACGGTTAGGAAGAGGAAGGAACGGGCGCCTTCGCGGTATAATGTTTCGAGCTTTATTCGGCTTTAGGACTTTGTCAAGGATTGACGACGGGAAACGTACTTGGATATCCAATCGGTTCATGAGGACGGAGTAAAGCTGAGGCTCGTGTCCGGTGATGTTTGTCTGGACACAACTGCTCTGTCAGTTGGAGTATTTTAGGAGGGATCGTATGACTTACCCAGCCAAATGAGTTGCCCTAAATCGATCGATGTTTCAAAGGTATGCTTTGCGATCATATGTCGAGAGGCACTGACCACATCGTTTATACCAATCCAAAAGGCAAAAAGAGAGTTCGAGCTTTGCCAAGCAGCACTCGCAGGCTTGGGCGCAAGGATTTGCTTGAACTGGGACACCTGATCGACAATGGATCTGGGGCACACGACGGTAAGAACGAGTGTTGGCTAAGGGTGCTTCAACTTACAGCACTGTAGGTTGAAAAGGTGGTACGAGTTCCCCATCGATAGTTGCACCGCCCGATGCCAAATCAAATACCTATGTTCGTTGAGGGAATGATTGAATGGCTGAGCGTGGCACTGACCCTGGTGTTTGTCACATTGAATGTTCCTCCTACGAGTATTTTGATGAAAGTCGCAATCAAATTTCAGTTCGCAGAAGACTCACCAAGGAACTGAACCCAGTTGGGTCCATTCGACGAAGTCTGAGGGATATATGAATTTTAGTGGCGGGGTTATCTGTGTTAATCAAAACCCACAAATCCCGGAACTGGAGAGTCGATACCCGCAGAGATATTGAAGCCTAGATATATTTTAGCACCATGCTCCGAGATGCGCCATGGTACCAGGATATACCATCGGTGGTATAGGAATCTCCAAATGTGAACAGAAATTTTGTGTCCCCCCAGGTGAGCTTGCCAAAAGTTGGCGTAACACTCAAAGCGCAGAGAATAGTAGGCAGCAACAGGGAACTAGATAGGCGCATTCTGGGAAATCTAGGCAGGTCATTGCACCCAGACGGGAAGGGCAGTTTAAATAACCCGCTCCCTCCGAAGATCGTCCGTGTCGAGGTGAATGAGCAGCTCAAAGTCCATAGGATAAACCTTTATTTCGCTCTATTTCCACAAAAATAGCTATAGTTACGCGGGCGGTGTGAAGAGAACGCTGACCGTGAATTTTCGAAGAATCGCCACATGGTGGTCAGAGGCCAGAATATGAATTTCCCGAAACGGAAGGTTCATCACGCCCCGCATTTCTTGTATCTGCCACCCACCACGGCTGATGCTGTTAGTATTACAGCCGAGCTCAACATCCCTGTAGTATCATGATTTCGGTATGCCTGCAAACTACGTGTATAAACGAATCTCACAACTCTCCAGGCATTCTTCATATTCAACCAGAAGGGCGAGGTGAGTCGAACTCGACCGATCCCGATACAAATGGAAACCCACGCACCACCCAGGTTCTGATCTCAAGGCTCTACCGGACCGACTTCAAGTGTGATACAAGCCCTATTATTCTCTATGCAACTGCTCATATGACTGGCGGTCTCTAGACGATCGATCGCAGACGTTTTCCGGATCCAAGTAGTGTCCAACAGCGACGTCAGGTCACCCATCATCACCCTAGGCTCGACGAGTTTCTTCCACGTCCGAATCAACAACCTCTATGTCGTAGCTGTAACGAAGTGAGTCCTCGATTGTTCTTTGCCGAGCACCTACCGATATCAGTCCAGGAACAACGCTAACGCGGCCCTCGTCTTCGAGTTCTGTTACCGCTTCATCAACATCGCGAAGTCATATTTTGGGAAGATAGATGAGGAGTCTGTGAAGAATAACTTTGTGCTGATCTACGAACTTATTGACGGTGCGTGATTGGGTCAAACTTTGACATTGGCGAGGCGCTGAATCCATTGCTCAGAAATCAACGATTTTGGGTATCCCCAGAACAGTGAGATCGACACCCTCAAATCCTACATCACTACGGAAAGCATCGTTTCATCTGCTATAGTGGCGGTGCGTATTCCGGTCCTTCGCTGGCTACGTCGACTAATCGACGTGCAGGAGGAGTCCTCGAGGATTACGACACAAGCGACTGGAGCAACAAGTTGGCGACGTGGCGATGTCAAGTATAAGAAGAATGAGGCGTTTGTGGATGTCGTGGAGACTGTCAATTTGAGCATGAGTGCTAAAGGTATGTCTGCCGGCTTCTCGCCAACGCGATCGGCTCCTCATGTAGGATAGGAACTGTCCTGCGGGCTGATGTCGACGGCCATATCCAAATGCGCGCCTACCTTTCTGGCACTCCGGAGTGCAAATTCGGCCTCAACGACAAGCTGGTGATTGATAAGAGTGAACGCGGGGTCGGCGATGCTGTAGAACTGGATGACTGCAGGTTCCACCAATGCGTGCGGCTGAACGACTTCGACGCAACCCGCACGATCAGTTTTGTCCCACCAGACGGCGAGTTCGAACTCATGCGGTGAGTCGATTGGTTTTCAGAGCTGCTTAGACGCGTGTACTGACGGCAGCCCAGATATCGTTCGACCTCGAACGTCAAATTGCCACTACGCATCATACCCACCGTCAACGAGATTGGCACCTCGCAGGTCTCTTATACCGTCACCGTCAAAGCCAACTTCAACAACAAACTCTCAGCCACCAACGTCATCTTGCGGATACCTACACCGCTGAATACCACGACCGTAGACTGCAAGGTCGCGAACGGAAAGGCCAAGTACGTGCCTGGAGAGAACGTCGTCGTCTGGAAGTAAGTTAAACCCTTACTTGAGCCTGTCGTCGGAGAACTAATAAGATGGTTGCAGGATTCCACGGATACAGGGCGGATCGGAATGCACGTTCACGGGGACAGCAAGCCTGACCAGCACCACGACGCGCCAGGTCTGGGCTCGACCACCGATTGACGTCGACTTCCAGGTCTTGATGTTCACTGCGTCGGGCTTGATCGTCCGCTTCCTGAAGGTATTTGAAAAGAATAGCTACCAGAGCGTGAAGTGGGTCCGGTACCTCACGAAAGCGAGCGGTTCTTACCAGATACGGGTGTGTGGCTTTTATGTCTTTTTCCATGTTTCATGATGCTGATCGAGGTGTAGTTCTGAGGCTCGATAGGGAGTTGATTACCTGCCGGTGTGATATCCAGTATTGTAGTACGTCGTTGTTAATCTGAGTTCGCGATCGGACACGAATCAGTGATCACGAATTACGATTTGGTCGTTGTGACGAAATCAATAGCTGCTATGACGGACCAGGAGGTGATGCCAACAAAAAAGACATGATGCAACTCCATCACGTACCGAGCGACGCCAGCAGGATTTGAACCTGCGCCCTCAAAGAGGAACAGATGAATATGTTGATTCTAATCTGTCGCCGTAACCACTTGGCTATAGCGCCTTGAGGTTCGAAGCAAGAGGCCTCCTCTCAGACTTTCAAAAGTGACTCCATATGTAGTTAGCACCGATCATACACAAGTAGGCACGATCGTAGCTGTGACGTGACCTAATTGACCTGAATCCCGACCATCATGTTACCTGCAGGCTACGAGCGCCTAAAGGACCTGTCTTATACGGCAGTGCTTCCCAGATTACCCACACTTACGCCCAGCCATGGCCCTCACCTACCAGGATCTGTCTGCATGGATCATGATGGATGGCAAGATACAACAAGTCTACGCTGTCGATACCCCACGACCCAACTCGATTACCTGCTGGATTGCCTCTGAATCTGGAAAGGTATGTATACAACGATTTATGGAACCATCATATCGTTTATGCTTACCGACCGCCGTCTTACAACAGAAGTTCTCTGTGAACTGGCGGAACTTGTCACGAAGCTTCCCTCTGCAGGGCACAGTGGCTATCGACGGTGTAGCCTGCGATACCCATATCATGTTGGACGCGCCTTCTTTTCCAGATAGACCTAACGCCGTAGGGGTATCCTATGCACGAACGTCGGAGTGTACTCGCAGGGACTTCATGTTTGCGGCCATCGAAGTCACTGGTGAGATAGCCGCATAACGATTCCGCTTCTGGAGCCCTATTAAAAGCGACGCCCGCGCCACATATAGATGACGACGCATACTTGCATACCGCCGACCAAACGTACAATTTCGGCACCATAACGCTGGAACTATGGCGTTTGTATGTCTCGAATGTCGTCTCAAAGCCCTTCAAGCATCACCCAGGAAACCCAGTGCTGGAGAGCCAGCTTGTGCACGAGCGATCGAAGAAAGCGGGGACGCACCACGTGAAGTACCCTCTCTACCCTATGGCGGGTTGTGGCGCATCCTTACCGGATCTCGTAGATATAGCGAGGAGTACTACTCTCCTGCTCCCGTGGTTGACGTTGTCACTGCCCACAAGTGGGACAGCTTCCCGTATGTCAACTTTACCTTCAAGTACAGACCCCTGGGTATATTCCTTCCCCTTCCGCGCCTCCCGCCGCTGACATCATGTATCAAGCTATGCTGATGGCGAATGGCATCGTCCCCCGACCTATCCCAACGGCTGATCAGGGAACAGCAGCGGAAATTCGTGCTCTCGAGGTGGGATTGAACGATATCTTTATTTCGCACTCGTCTCACGCTCCCGTCGTACCTACAGGCCAAGCTTGCGGTTCTGCGCTCGAAAGCTGGGTCCTCTTCGGGCGCTGCTTGGCTTCCACACCGGAAGATCAAAAATGAACCTGGTATGGCTAGACGTGGTCTCAAGCCTCTGAGGAAAGGTCTCCACAAGAATCAACCTGAAATCATCGATCTCACGGACGACTGATATACTCTCTAATCTTGGCTTCTTCCCAGCTTTCCATTGCTTTGTTTTGGGCTATCGTGCATAGCATGTACGTACCCTTGTATATGTGCTTTTATTTCAGTAATGTGTACTTCTACGTCTTCTACGACAACACGGGGGAATTGTATAACTCGGCTGGACAAAAAAGTAGTCGGTCCAAAGCACCGGAAAGTATTATTTGAATAGATTAAATAAGGCATGAGGGGTGTCGTAAGAAAAGGTGAGGTATGCTGATGGATACAGTTCGCATGACAGTACCAGTACACAATGGAGGATGTGGGAAATGCAAAATAGATACGTGGAACCCGGGGGTGTCGTCTAATTAAATGTATGAAGAGAAAGGGAGCCAGGGAAAGAAAATAGAAGGAAAAAAGTATCAGTCGTTATCGTCCCTCCGACGACCCAGGCTTTTTCCGTAGGAAACCCCGCCGCACAGAGAACACATGCCCAAGCGCACCAGTCCTTGTGTTCCTAGCCGTATTATCCTCCGTTGTCGTTGCGAGGTTGCGACTGCTCTGCCGCCGTTCCGACAAGTTCGTCTGCATACGCTGCATCGCCACGCCGCCCTCCTCAGTCGAGAAATCGAACCCGCGATGTATTGACCGCACGCCCGTCGACATGTCCGTCCTGCTTCCAGATTGTGGGTCACAGGACGGCCGTCCCGGGGGAGCCGACGCGAGACTGGTGCCCGACGTCCGCCGCGACGAAGACGCACGCCTGAGATGCCGTATCGAAGTCGATCTCGCTAGCTGTGCCTCCTGGACGACATCGCGGTCCGGCTCCAATTTGCGAACGTACCGCATGATGTCGATGTCGTCAGGCGCGAATCCGAACTTGTAGGCTTTTGCGAGGTAGCGCGGGGCCAAGGCGAGACACACAGTGAGGGGCATGCAGAACCAGAAGAAGGCTGACGGCCAGAGGTAGTTGTCGTAGCCGTACAACACGGTGACGAACCAGCCAGGTGAAATGACAGCGTATATGGCCTAAGTGATTTATGAGATCGTGCGTGCCAGATTTAGTACTATATGCTTACAGTGTAGATCCATAAGAGTGCGATGCCAATGAAGACGGCGAACCAGACCCAGCCTGTCCATACGTTTGTGTTGAGGCCATTGTACAGATTAGCGGCGATGACGGCCGAAAAGACCATGGTCTACAGGGCAAATAATCAGCATGGACATCACAGTCAAGTTATAGAATAACATACAGTCGAGAATTCATACTGTGTGACTTGCCATCCGTCACGGCGGGAGGAAACTGTATCATAGGCGTAGAGAATAATGAAGAAAATGATGGCCGACTAAGAATTGCTTGAGGTCAGCATGCATCCAACACTCTAATTGACAACCGAAACATACCTGCATAATACCATCCAACATATAAAGTATGAACTTTCTGAAACTAAACCATCTGCCCTCCCGCCCGTGGTGGTATAGCTCCGGGACGTCCATCAGAATATGTGCATCTATGGCGCCATTAGTCAGGTTGCAACAACGTGAGGACCATCAATACGAACCAACGATCCGGTCGAACAAGCCAATTGCAATGACGGGGCAGAGAGTCCAGAAAGAGTTCCAAAAGAGGAGGAATGTGTATTCAAAGACGCTGAAATGATGGAATGAGATTTGGCCCACAACGAAGGAGCCGACAGACTCACTAGTTTGAGCTCCATGCGCAATAGATTTGGAACCACCACAGCACACCGATACACACGATATTTTTGTAGAAAAAGTTGAGAATCCTAGAGCGCATCGGCATCGGTCAGCTAGCCCCACACCAAGAGAGCAGGCAATGATACTCACATATTTCCGTTACGCGCATAAGACCAGTGTCCGTGGACCAAGATTAAACGTTTCAAAAAGCGGAACTGAGCAATGGCATAGTCGGACGAGTTGACGGCCTGCAAACCCTCCTCGCCAGAGATACCAACGCCAACATCGGCAGACTAAAGAAAGAAAGAAAACATGTCAGCATACATACTTAACCCAAGAACCCCCGCCCAACGCACCTGGATCATGCTAACATCATTAGCCCCATCGCCAATCGCCAGCGTCATCGCGCCCAGCCCATCCTTCACCAGCCTCACAACAAGGGCCTTCTGCAACGGCGACGTCCGACAGCATATAACGCCCTCGCACTGCGTCGCCAGCTTCAACAACAACCCCTTATTCTTCTCATCCGCCAACGCATGGTCCAATGCCGCCCCATCGATTACCAGCACGAACCCACCGGGGCGGTCCCCGTTGTTCGAGCCGACAATCGAGGAAAGCCCCGTATCCATTCGGCGCAATGGGTACTGTCTCTGCCTGTCGTCGCCCCTGTGGGAGTCCTGCGAATATCGTGGAAGTCCGGGGCTAGCGCCGGTGCTACGGTCCTTGTGGGCCGGGTCCTCTAGCAGACCTGCCTCGGGGAAGAAGTCCTCTGCGGCGCGCACCATCTGGTCGTAGACCGCACGCCCGTTGGAGTTGCCGCGGATGACGATGATGTTAGATTCGCGCCCGATGAGGTTGGTACTGTGTCCGATGGCTGCAACGATGTCAGACCAATGTAACGACAAGAGAAGATGCCATAACATACCGATGGCAGTCTCGAGCTTGTCACCAGTTGCAACCCAGATCTTGATTCCAGCACGTTTGAGGTCTGCAATAGTCTCGGGAACCCCATCCTGCAAGCGGTCCTCGATCGCAGTGGCGCCGAGCAACCGAAGATCTTGCTCGAGCTCATCCGATACCGCTTCAATTTTCTCTTCGCGATTGTCCATAGACACCGTCGCAGCATGGTACCGTTCACTCCACGCCGCATATTCGTCCTCTACAAGCCTGTCAACACCATGAAACATCCCATAGAACAAATGAAAACGCACCACCAACAACCTTATACGCCAAAGTCAAAGTCCTCAACCCCTCACTCGCAAACTCCGCCAAATGCCTCTCCGTCTCCCTCTTCAAATCATCCCCGCCCTCCCTCAACCTCTCAAAAATCACATTATCCGCACCCTTACACAACAAGAATATCCTCCCATCCTGCTCGTCCAGCTTCCTCACCACCACGCTCATCCTCTTCCTCGTACTCGTAAACTCCAAGATATTCAACAACTGGTACCGCTCCACCTCCTCGCTGAACGGCGTCTGCAGGAGCAGCACGTCCCCCTCCCGCCCACGGAACACAAAGCCCACGTCCGCTGCGGCTTGCACCAGCGCAGCCTCGTCGGGGCTCTGGGCCTTGTATTCGAGTGCGCCGGTCTGCGAGTCAATGCCCGTGAGCACGGTGTGACACAAAGCGAGCACGGAGAAGAAGCCATTGAGCGAGCGTGCGTGTGCAGCACCGGGGGAGTTGGGGTCCGCGTGCTGAGAGGCAGCGAGGTCCGCAGAGAGGGTGGCGTCGGAGAAGGGGTACATGACCTGCGGGGCGAGCTTGATACGGTCCGAAGCGACAATGTGCGGGACCGCTCTTTCGTGCTTTTCCTTCTTTTCCGAGTCGGAGAAGGCATCCCTTTGGTCGTTGCTGGAGGATTCGCCGGAGGTGGAGGAGACGGAGGTGGGGTCGCCTGCTTTTATGTCGACGGGGACGGGGATGGGTTTCACATCGGGTTCGCGGACCCGTTCC